CCTTGCTTCATTATCCCCACCTTGCATTCTCTTTAACTTTCTCTCCTCTCCCTTTCCCACCACTCCCATTAAGCCATGTCACCCAACTACCTAAAAATATTCCTACGATCTCTCTCCTAAGGTATCTAATTTAAACCAATAGGAAAGTATCATGTTGCCCCACTCCCTAATCAATTCCTAAACTGCATCCCCCCTAATCTATATCCACTCTCCCTCATTTAAAATATTCATATTAATTAATAAATAGTTAAATATGGTTAATATTTAATCCCATCCATATTCAATGAGTATTAAATAGTGTTATTACCAAAAGTTAATAAATATGGTTAGTAAATTACCAAAAATTAAATATTCTTATTAGTACGGTTAGTAAATTACCAAAAATTAATAAATATTGTTATTAATTAACTCATTAACAACATTTTATATTAGTATGGTTAGTAAATTACCAAAATTTAATAAATATTGTTATTAATTAACTCATTAACAAAAGTTTATAGAAATTGAAAACTCTTTAACTAATTTCTATAAAACTGAGAATTATATTTAACAATTATCAAAAAGTATAAAATTTTAGTTATTGTTATTATTATAATTAATAACCAAATACAAATGGGGGAACAAAATATTATAATATTAGAAAATGAAATTATTAATTAATTTATATTGAAAAATAAATGATAAACTAGTGTAATTTTGTTAGTAAACTACCAAATAAAAATATATATTTAATAATAGTTAAAAAATTTTCAATAAATCCCTATAGTTACACAAATGCAATAAAATTTTCATAAAATAACATTTTTGAAAATAAAAGATATAAAGTATTTGAAAGTTTATTTAAAATGCATTAAATAATTATAAAAAAATTATTAAAATATTTTGGAAATTTTAAGAAAATTTATTACATTTGATAGATTATGGAAAACCATTGAAAAATTATGCAATTTTCATTGAAAATGATTGAAAATTATTAAAGATAAATGACTATGGGAAATGGAAAACTATAATTTGAACAAATAATCACACAAATTATTAAGATAAATTAGTATAATATTGGAAAAAGAAAATTATTGGTTAGTTTATATTAGAAATTATAAGATAAATTAGTATAATTCTGTAAATAAACCATTTAAAAAGAAAATAAATTATTTAATAAAAATTTAAATAAATTTGAATAAATTTTCAAAATTACACAAGTACAATAAATTTTCATAAAATTACTTTTTTGAATATTAAAGACAATTTAGTGTACTCTTAGAAATTTACCATGTGGTTGATACTCAATATATCATTTTGATCATTTCTATCATTAAATTGAATATTGGGTTGACGGGGATAGTGTTTTTAAAATTGGATCAAACCAGATGGTTAGACCAGAAAAATTGGGAATAGGACACCGTTTCACCTCAAAACCACTTTTTGTCCAAAAACCGTTTATTTGGTTAGCAAACTACTGACCTGGGCGGTCGAACCGTCAACCTTGACAATAGTTTTTGGCCTTTTTTGTTTTTCTAATTTTTTTTATCAGAGGAGGTCATCCGTTCAAACCGACCAGTCAAACCGTTCGACCCCAAAGCGGTTCCCTATCCGGTCCAATTTAAAAAACCTTGGACGGGGAGTGGGTGCCTTACCTTGAGCTTGGCTTGGTGTGCGGCATGGCCTGGCCCAAGGCCCGGCCCATGGACCAGCCCGATCCACGGCACGGCACGAGCCCGTGCGGGTTCGGGCCATGGGTCATGCCAAACCGACCCCCAAATTATCCTAGAGAAGGGAGGCACGGCCCGAGACACCTCGTGAGCCAGCACGGCACGACTCGCACTTTGCGCGGGCCACATGCGGGTCGTGTCGTGCCGACCCAACACGACCCAATTTACACCTCTACTTGAACATGCCCAGTACTGGGGACAGGGCATGGAAATTCGAGGATTCTCCATCCTTGATGAGGAGTGGGATGTCTTTTCTCTAAACACACCCTACATTGAAGAGTGGTTACCTTGCCCTAAACCCGCATGACACTGGGGACAAGGCAGGGATGAAGTAGAGTGTGTTGATTATAGCGCAGGGAAAGGGATGAGATGCCTTGCCCTGAATCCACCCTATTGTCATTCCTATATAATTGTTAATTATTAATAGAATTAATAAAAATATTAACTTTTATAGTTATTTTTATTTGTTTAAAGCTAATCAAAATTTCATTTAAAAATAATAAAAATTATTAATAAGATTAAACTTATTAAAAATGTTTGTTTATATTTAATTAACAATAATTATTTTTTATTAATCAACATTGAATAAAAATAAAATTATTAAATAAAGCGCTCTCCCTGAAACAGATTCGGACTCCCGTTGATACCTCAGTATGCCCAGCTCACCACCACTTCTTCTTGGGTGTATGTATGAAAGCTATCCGGTGGGCTAGCTCATCTTCACGTGGAAATAACCGGTGGGCCAGTGGGGCCCGGTGTTGGATCAAAGCTATGCACCTTTAATAGGATTTGAACAACCAGTCAACCACTTGCCAGGTTCTGGTTTCTACTTCCAACGCGTTCGGACAAATTCCTACAGCGCGACCTCTCTGGACTCTGGCTCTTTCTTGAGTTCTAAATGGACCGTCCAGACCACAGGACAATTCCACCAATGTTTTTTCCCGAGTCCTGGCTACCGCCTACCGCAGTACCGCCAATCGGTTGGACATAATACCGCTGCTGCACGAGTGCATGCTGCGGCAAGCGATAAAGAGCATTGGAATTCATATCAAAAATAGAAAAGGACAAATTTTTTAAATTACCTTTAAGATTTTATATGGTGTTTGAAAGTGTGGCGCTTATGGAAATTGATTTTCAAGAAAAAATGTTCATGTTTTTATGACCAGTATTTATAAAAAAATGTTTGTCATATATTAGTGAACAATATTATGATAAGGTATTTTTATATACTAACAGGTAAATACCACGTAGAATATACATCAGTCAATCATTAAAAGAAATGATTCATCGATTGGTCCTAATTTTTTAGGCATATCCGATTTTTTAATAATTGATTGAACTAAATAATGAATTATATAGGTGTTTATTGAAGTGCATATATGAATCCCATGTGGCATCGTTTTTTTTTGAAAAACGTCTACCATTCGAAACATCCTTTAAGTTCTTTTAATAATTGTCAAAAACCTTTTTTAGTTAACGTCCGCTAAAGATAGATGAAAAGACTACTTTATCCATTACAGTTCTTCAAATTTTTAAAATAAAAGAGAAAAAAGGGAGGAGAGAGAGATTATAGATCGAAAAAGGAAGGGAGTGTGTATCAGAGGTGCAACCATCGCTGGTGGACGGTAGAACAGCTTCTTCCCTCCATTTTATTACTCTATATTTTCTCTCTCTTGTGCTTATTTGGAAACAGAGAAGACTGGTCTGATTTATATAGAGTGACAAGTGATGAGAAACAGTAATGGTGTTTTTTGTTTTATTATTTATTTTTCCAATTATTGCAGACTATAGTGTTTCTCTTGAACTTCCCCTCTTCCCTCTCCCTATAATTATGTTCCCCGGTGCCGTAGGAGAACCGCCGGAACTGTAGAGGTCGGATGCGTGGGCGAGGTCATCAAACTCGAACACCTTTTGACGACCGGTTCTTCCTCATTTGCAAAGGCCAGGAGTGACCTGTTCTTCCTCGTCTCGAATTCCATGATGGGTGTAGTAGCAGGGTTCGACAACAGAGGTCGAAACCTGAGGGGATGGGTACACCGAGAAGCTGAGCTTGGATTTCTTGCCATAATCAACTAAGAGTAGATGACAGTGGATTCAAGATTCAAGAACACAGCAGGGGAATGTGCTTCGCCGGCCTATCTCGCCGAAAAACGTGTTGAAGGCATCATCTCCCCCCAACGGTATATTCGACTTTCTCGCGAAGAGATGGAGCGGCTTCAGATCTGTTTTCGGTTGTGTTGGCTGAAATGGACCATCAAAGGTTGTGATCAAGGTAATGCCCAAGTGATCTTTGCGTTGATCAGGTCGGAACAGCTCTTGGCTTCCGCGGCGAATTCAAAATAAAACCCACAACAAGAATGAAAAGAAAAGGTGATTAACAAAAATAACCTTTCTTCACTCTTTCATATCGTCCGAAAATCACATCCCTCCCTCTCTATAAAAGCTTCTGAGTGCGAGGTTGTTTCATGGGGTTACCCAAGTACCCACTCCATGCCCCCGAACAGTGTTTTTCTTCCTGACCCTGTGATCAAAATCCTGGCTATAAAAGTCTAATACCCTTTCGACCTTTTCCCTCTTCATTGCTTCATTGCTTCATTGCTTTTCTGCCGTGTTCGTTACCAACATATTCTCGCCAGGAAAGCCACTATGTCCACTTTACGTGTCAATATAGTATGTTCCGACTCAACCATGGCCACCCGCGCGGCAACGGCACTGACATGTATTTTCTGACTCAACCAGGATCTGATTTCACTACCCATCGTTTTTTCCGAGATTACGGCATGTTTTTGTGCCATGTACGCATTTGTGCCCAGATTTAGTCCCCTTTTCATCGGAAGGTTTTAGGCAGGACCACCTGAGTTACGGTTCTGTTTCTTCGAGAATAAGGTGGATTCCGGTGGCGGGGAGGAAGACAGATATAGAGATGGAGTGGATTTAGATAAGAGGGTATTTTAAGAATTTTAAAAAAATATATATTAATTATGTGACATTAATGTGACGGAAAGAAGGGTATTCTAAGATAATTGTCAAAAAATTCAAAATATTTAAAAATAATATATAAACAGTAAAGTTAAAACTAGTTTATTAGCTAAACTATAAAGATAATTTAAAAAAAGGTAAATTTTTTTAAACTACTCTTATAATTTAGTTAACTGTTTAAAAATTGACTAATACTATCCTATTATTTCTTATTTCTGTTCTGACAATCTACCCGTTAGTATTTAGTCAAAACCTGTACACACGTGATACCACGTCACATTTAAATTTTTTTAAAATCCAATATTACCCTCATCCTCTTCCTCTCGACCTAACACCCCCTTCCCTCCTCCGACCTCTCTCTTCCCTTTATCTTCCTCCGACCATCTCCGTCAACACAAAATCGGTTCACAAATCAACATTCTTATCAAGATCAATCCTCCATTGAGCTCCCGAGCTAACAAACTCTCCCCTCTCTCTCTCTCTCTTTCTCTCTTTTCACCTCCTTCGCCCAACGAAGCCACCATCGCCATCTAGGGTTTTTGAACCTCACTAACCAGAGTCTTAAGGGCCAAAGAGCCACGGTTCGCCGTAGAACTGACAATAACGAAGACAGTCTTCCTGTGATTGTCATCACCATCCATTTCTAGGGTTTTCGCAGGGCTTCGTAGAGGATATTATTGTCAATTGAGTAGAAGGAAGAAGCCAAAGGGAACGCAGAACCCGAAGCGGGTCAAGACCAAGAAGACCAATTGCTAGGCAGCATTCTCTTGACCTTCCGATTTGCCTTCTTTAGCCAATTTCAGAAGGGGCACCACTCCACCTTCATCGATTATGAGCTTATATCTATCGTTGTCGCGGACGAGCGATACGAGAGAGGTGGCCGCATCAGATCTATCATCAAGAGATCCCGTATAGAGGGTAACGATCTGTTCCCAAATAAGTAGAGGATGGGATCGTTAGCAGCGATCGAAAGAAGGCCGAGATACTCGTCGTCACGGTCATCTGCGGAAGCAGAGATGTGGAGGAGCCAAGATACATCGTCAATGGAATTTTCGAGCTGAGAGGACATTTTCTTGAAGGCAGCAGCGGGAATAACGGTGAAGACGCACTTCATGAGCCCATTATGAGACGAGTGAGAGAGCAAGAGTTAGGGAGACGGAGAGCAGAAAAAGAGACGGATCTCTGGGTTTCGAATGGCTTCGAGGAACCAGAACAAACCCCCTCTACCCAACGCTACTCCTTGAAGTCCTTCTAATGTAAGGTTTTATTTGCCTCCCTCCGTGTAATTTTCCTTGTTCTCTCTCTCTCGTCCCCTGCCTCTTTGCATCAACGAACCGCCGCTGCAACTCTTAGCAGCGGTGGCATCTTTGGTTCTTACAAATTTTGGTTTTACTACACCTGGTCGAGCCGAAGTTCCGTTTGCTGGTTTGGACATCATTCTCCTATTCATATTCTCAATCGAACGGGCATGCATCACCGGCAGCTGCAGCGAGCAGAGATCGGTGGTCATTGGCGGCCACTCAGCCATGGTAAGTAAACCCGCACATAAGGAATAAAAAAGTAACTCTGCCCTTTGAGTTAAAGGGTAAAACGGACATTTTAAACTTTTTGTTCATGTTTAACGATACCGATCATACTTAGACAATTGTAAAAACAATAGGGATTGCGTCAGTCAAATTTCAAATAACAAAAGTATAGTTAATCAATTAACTAAACATAATTTAAAAAAATTATCTTTTAAAAATTCGTCCAACAGAAAAAGTTCAAATACCAACAGCACGAGGTGCCACTGCTTTCTCCATATGGTACAATCATAAGATTGCTTTCACATCAGATTACTATTTGATTTACGCAAGTTTGGGAGTACTTATTTAAAAAATAAGTGTTTATTCTAAAGCGGTGAAAAAATACTTATTTCAAATAGAGAGAATATTAGATATTTTCAAAATGATGTGGTGAATTAAGATAGGCGAAAAATGAAATAAACTCTTACTTTCTGAATGGATTTCTCAAATAAACTTCGAGAAGTAAGTAATTATTCGGATTTATTTTTCAAATACCAATAAATGATTATTGATGTGGTCTCGACTCAAAATAAATGATTATTGGAATATATACGAATTTTTAAACATTCCCAAATTTGGCACCTGCATTTTAGGCATTTAGCCCACCGTTTTATCTTTTGTTTTGTAAGAAACAGGAGAAGCTGAAGGCGGCTGAACACAGGAAATTAGGAAAATCTCTCCCTCGCTCGCTCGCTCCCGCCTACATAAATACCACGACACTGGTTAATTTCTAGCAATTAACCGTTCAATTCCATAATACGAAATGGGTATTTCTTGGATCATACTCTTCTTTGGGATTCTCTTCTTGGTTTGCAGCAGCTTCGCCGAGGTTGTAACCATCGATGTCCACGCGGCTAAGGATCTCCTCCGTTCTCGCCACCACCGCTATCTAGACGTCAGGTTGGTTGCTGGGAACGCCCTTTTCTCTTCTCGTCTTCCTTGACGAAGCTGTTCGATATTTCTACAGATTTTCTTTTTTTCTTTTCTGGTCTTTCTCCCTCTCTTTTTCAATGCTGAGGGTTTCGTTGTTCGTATTAACAGGACAACGGAAGAGTTCAACAATGGTCATGTGGATGTGGAGAATCCTTTGAACATTCCTTATATGTTATTCACCGCTGAAGGTACCTTTGTTTTGTTTTTCATGGTTAATTCTTTTTTTCCTGTTTTTCTTTGATCTTGTCTGAAAATGAATTTCATTTTATTTTGCTGATCCAAATGCAGGCAGAGTAAAAAATCCTCATTTTGTGGAGCAGGTTTTGGCAGCTTGCAGTAAGGATGATCATCTCGTTGTGGTAATCCCCTTTCTCTTTTATTGGTTTATATCTGGGATCAATTCCAAACTCTGTCTCATAATAATCCAGTGGAATCAATTCCAGACTCTGTCTCATAATAATCAAGTGTCTAATAAGCATCGGGGTCCAGTGATACTGAAATTTAGCAAATTTTCCAGTTTGGAATTAGAAAAGATACATTGAAACAAGAAAGTTTAAACCGCGAATTTGTTTTATAAAGCAAAGAGGAATGTAAAAAATTGTTAGACGAAATGGGAATTCCATTCTCATTTCTGCTGGAATGACATTTCCCAATTGAGGTAATGGTCATTCACTCCCCTTCCCTCTCATTTCAGCTTATTCCAATTCTGATTTCTATTTCTGAACCAAACACACTATAAAAATAGGCCATTGCGATCCAACTTCAAGGGACTGTGAATCAAACAGACCCATAGTTTATTATATAGTTTATTAATGGCATCATCCGGTTGAATCTGTGAAGGGATGTCTAAGTGGGGTGCGGTCACTTCATGCGTCAACTGAACTTATCAAAGCTGTAAGTTGATTATTTCTTTTCTTGTTGTTCTTGTGAACAAGTTTATTTTGTTTTTCCATACCAATGGGTGCATTTATTTACAATATTATAGAGATAGAAGAAATCATGTGCTCTGTCCAATACAGGATTTCAAGCATGTCAGCAACATGGGAGGGGGTTATACTGCATGGGTTGAGAAGGGGTTTGCTGTGAAAAAACCCAAAGAAGAGCTGTGACGATGGTATCAATAAGTTGCTACTTTCATTTTGTTCAGGCGGGTAGTCACAACTTAGAAGTCTTGTTGTTTTATGTACTAATCTACTGTTGGTGCAAACTCATTTGTATAGCGATAAATTCAACAAGAGAAAAGTTATTTAGCAAAATGCAGCTGCCATTTCTCAATTTTTCTTAGGTCCCTTTAGTAGTAAGTTACTTACCCTGTTAAATGCAATTATCTGGGTAAGTATTTCCTGGGAAACACTTATCCGTGTAAGTGTATTTATCATGTTCTTTTATTTTCCTGGTAAATAAGGCAATGATCATTTTAGCCATAAGAATACATTATTAGAAGGGGTAGTTTTTTCTCGATCAAGTATTGACAACTTTCCCCCCAAAGTGAGAAAGCTATTTACCCACATAAATATGAAAAAAGAAGATGAGATTCTTGGTCAATGGGAACCAAAATCTCATTGACCAACTTTCCCCCCTCTCAAAATCCCAAAAAAAATGCCCCATTGGTTACAATATACTATTTACAAGATACCACTTATGAATTCCTAGAACCATGCCTTTCTAAAACCCCATCTGATTTTCTAACTGAACAGGCCTTCCTTGATATGATAGAATTCTTTAGACCTAAAGTATATGGACATTCTTTAACATTGGCCCACCAGTTCTTAATAGTTAAAATTGCTCAGTTAGATGGTGGCCTTGAGCTTTAGCTTAGATGTGAAAATTTACAAAAGAAGGAATTAGCTTCTTATACAGCTGATTCTTTCTCGTCTTTTTCTTCTTCTTCTTTTTTTAAATTTGGTAAGGATAAAGCTGCTGCTTCTATGGTCACTGATAAAAAGAAAGAGAAAGCATCAAGAGAAAAAGAGTGTTGGAGCCTGGATGTGCATTTGCGTACACAAAGATGGCAATGGCTATTGGTTGATGTGATCAAACAATTGAGCCCCGCATATAGAGGGAACCTTATAGTCTTTGTTTTTTTTTGCCTCTCTCGCTCTAAGGATAACATTGATGGAAACATAATTTGATTCTTTTAGAAACAACCTTTAACACATGCATTTTTAAGGTCCGCCTATTTTAACCATAAATAATTAGTCTCAAATAACAATTGTATAATTTATATTGATAAATCCAAAACATTTTCAGATATAAAGCAATGATACCAAACACAATCTTAATTCTTGAAGGATGAGACAGGATTAACGAATCCATCACCATTGGCATTTTCTGTTTTCAATCCCCAGGTGCTGGGCCAGACAAGCCCAAACATAAATCAGTCTATGTCTAATTACATTTTATTATATTTTATATATCTATACTATCTATAAAAGAGTGAATTCCCCCTTTTTTCTGGAATTTTCATTAGACGTTTTCTACCCTTTTTTTTGTTTAAGCACACAGTGGGTATAAAAAGAGCATATATGTCCTTTACTCTCACTTTGGAAATTGCCCACTCATAACTGTTCAGAAACTACCCACTTACAAGTTATAACCGTTTAGAAACTGCCTATGAATTATGAATAGTTTTGTTTTAGAATTACTGCCACGTGCAAATGCACATAATCCAAGGTGTCACAAGGTGTTTTGAAATAGTGACCTTTTATCTTGGGATGAAATGCAGTAATCCAAGGTGTCACAAAATTGTGGACTTAAATAAATGCATACCTTTAATCATATTAAAAAAACTAGCGAAAAGTAGAGACAAATCCATTTCCAACAACGATCACCAAGATAATGTTTTAAACCGACGCCATTTTTCAAGTTGCCATTTTCTTGAGAAAATGATGTTGCATTGATATAGAAAACGACATTTTTTTTTGTTTGTGATCATTGCTACCATCTAGGCATTTTTCAATGCCACACACACCAATAAACCATTGCTAGCAATGGTATACAAATGAGATAACTCCAAAACTGCATTTTTCCTTATTTCCAAGATGTGGTTTAAAAAATATTTTTCAAAAAAACACCCAATCATGCAATGCTACACCTTATTGTTTTGGTTAGTATATTAGGTAGTATAAAAACAAAGGTTCATGTAGAACTTTTCAATGAATAACTTGATTGTGTAGGAGCAATTGATGGAATACACACTAGCAACATGTTCATTTGGTTTAAAATCTACTTATGCCTTGCCTAAATGGGAAAGTGTAGCATCAAATTCTTGTATGTTGAGGTCTGCTCTCACTAGAGAATACAAACTTGAGGTGCCTGAAGGTAGTAACCCAAATCAATTAGTTTTTACCATTTTTGTTATAGGCAATGTTGTTAAAAGAGTTTATCAATAGGTAAATTTTACCTTGTGGATGTAGGGTTCACATTGAAAGCTGGTTTCATTGCGCCATATAGAAACAACTGATATCATTTAAAAGAATGGGGTTCATGCCAACTTGAAACTGCTAAGGAGCTATTTAATCTTCATCATTCTTCATTAAAAAATGTGATTGGATGAATATTTGAGAGTGTTAAAGTAGCAGTTTCCTATCCTTGTGCTTATGCAACATTATTCATTTGAAACACAAGTTAAGATTGCACATGCTTGTTGTATCTTACACAACTACATGATGGGTGTGAATCCATATGACTTTATTATGAGGCAATATGATCAAGAAGCAGGAAATAGAGGATTAGAAGAAGTTAATGAAGATGGTGTTGAACCCGAGGAAGAGGATGATAAGAGACAATTAAGAAGACCTTCACATCGTTTAAGTATGAATGAGACAATGAGACAAGAAACTCGCTTGAGAGAAAAATACAAATAAAAATGTGGAGGATTACCAATTACAACACTCTCGAAGTAGGAGTTAATTTCATTTTCGTGATTTAAAAATGATATTATGTAAACAATGACAACTATCACATTATCTTTGTTAGAAAATCATTGTTTTGTCTATTGTATTATGTTTATTATATGTTTATTATGTCTTAGATATGGAAAGACGGGAATCAAGAAGTCAGAAGCCTAACATGATTTGGACCCTAGAAATGGACGATTGTCTAATTGAGGCACTTGTCCAACAAGTACATCTTGGGAACAAATTTGATAAGAGTTTCAAGGGCCCTGCTTATAAAGTTGAAAGTAGAGCAATTGGTTCTAAATTTGGGGTTGATTGTAGTGTTGATCATATTAAGAATCGCTGAAGACTATAAAAAAAGAAATTGCCACATTAAAAGTTATTCTTAATCAAAGTGGCTTTAGTTGGAATGATCAAACACGTACAATAGATGTTGAACCTAAAGTTTGGAATTCTTATGTTAAGGTATGTGATTTTAACTAATGCTTGGATTATGTTTCTTTTGTTATTATTGTATAATGTGATGAACTGACTTCTTTTTTCATAGTCTCATTTGGAGGCAAGATAGTATTGTAGGAAAAAAAAATTGATAACTACAATGATTTGGCACTTGTTTGTGGAAATGATTAAGTTACCGGGGGTGGAGCTTTTTCTACAATGGAATTGAACCGACGTGAAGCAACTTCAACCTCTATAACTCATGGTAGGGGTGAGTATTCGGTTTTTCGGTTCAAAACCAAACTGAAAAAACCAAAATTTCAAAAACCGATTTAGTTATAGAACAAACCGAATCGAAATCGAAATGCTTGAAAACCGAATAAACTGAACCGATTTTTTTTTTTTGTTATTTCAGTTAAAATTGAAATATTTTGTTTTGTTATTTAATAAACACCTTTCGATAAATATAGTATATGGGCAATTAAATGTGTCCTAGAAATCAAACAAAAATGATTAAAATATAGTTTCTGAAAAGATCTGGGTTTGGAATCTTTATTTTTATCAAGTATTAACCATTTTTTATGCTTAAAATGGAATCCATCCTCCTATAGTCCTACGAAAAATTATTCATCTGCTCTTTTAAGCAATCCAAATTACACACTTGTCAACCTGGACCCTATCCCTAAGTCCCTGATCAAGTGACCAATGTTAAATAGTAACAGAAGAACCATTTCAAATTACTAGGGTGCCCCACCAATCTCAAAAAAAGTGAGAGAAGATAGATACTGTCATACTGGATAGAGATGGATCTACTGTGATTTCTCTCTCTTTCTCTCTCTCTCTCTCTCTCTCTCTCTCTCTCTCTTTCTATATATATATATATATATATATATATATATATATATATTTTAAAGACTAGAGAACGTCGATTAAGCTTGAAACACAAGCAATTGTTGCACGGTGACATATACAAGAGAAGAGAATGGGAAAAGAATTAACATAAAAAGTGGGAGCAACTGAGAAAGGAAGTAGACCATTGGGGAGTGGGGACCAATCAACTCCACTCTGGACTCTAGAGTCTGTATTCTCTAATGGCAAGAGGAAAAGCATCTAATTTAACTTCTATAGACTATAGTAGGTTTTTTAAGATGCAGATGCACTATGAATGTTGTAAAAAGAAAGATCATAGAAAATGGAAATTGACAAGCTTCTTTTGTTTGGCAATCCAAAATGAAGAGGGTCCAATCCAACAAGCTTTTTTTTTTCTTGAAACTGTTAAAAGTAACACGAGAAGAATGCATTCACTCATTGTGAATGCAGATGCATAGAACGGCACCCCAATCCCCATATGCATTGCCATAAAAAATTTTGCCTTGTGAATTGTAATGCATCATGGGGTGAGAGATACAATTTTTCCACTTCCTTTGGAGTCCATCCAAGGTATTAATGACTTCATTGACAACTTCCCAACAGAAGAAACATACTTTCATACCTTCATACTTGTTGGCCATTATTCACTATGTTTCTCAATTTCTGATACTTTCATTGATTGCAACATATATGTACCATATGTGGGATAGTGTTTTTCATCTCCATGTGCCACACACTTTGCATACTATACTTCATTAAGAAGTAAGGAGAGGAATAAAGACTATATAAACTAATTTCACTACATCTAGCATTCTAATGTTTTGGTAACATGAAAAAAGAAGTATTTGTGGTAAGTTCAAGTGTTCAACAAAAAAAAGTTAAGAGAGCTTAAAATAACAACATAGTAGGTTTCCAAAACTTCAACCACTAGGTCCACTATAGTATTTCCAATTTTCCACAAAGACTTTGCCTCCCACCTGCTATATCTATTTGAAAGAAAAGCCACTTGTTAGAAAATTAAGGTGAGTAAATACAAAATAGTCCAACATACAATATAAGCATGGATATTAAAAACTTACCTAAGATGCCAAGAATAAGCATAGGAATGAATTTAATAATCAAATATCAACCACTATTCTTTGCTCTGATGCACTCTTTGGTAAATCCAGAAGGGAAGAAAAAAATGTATCAATTAATCATTTATGAAGACTAAACAAATATCAATTTATCATTAGAAATGACATATGAAACTTAAATAAAAAAAAGAGTATTACCATTTTCAAATTTGTTAATCTCTTCTAAATCTTCTTCAACATTAATTGCATGTATCGATGATCAAATCCAATTTCGAGTACATATAAGTGCTTCTGCTATCTTAAGTGTCAAAGAGCTCCTAGATGCATCAAGCACTCATCCTCTAGTGCTAAAAGTGAACTCAAAAGCAACTTTAGAAATGGGAACTGTTAATACACCACGAGCCATCTGTGAAAGTATAGGGAATTTGGGACTGTTAACTTTCCACCATCTTAAAAATATCAAAGTCATCATTACCTTGTCCATGTTTAGTATCTTCATTCAAATATTTATCCAACTCTGATTTAGCATCTCCCCCTCTACTTACTGACTTGTACTTCTTAAATTGAGACATCGTCAATATCTTTTTTGCTTGTGATTGTTGGGGTTGCTCACTCTCTATTTCACTTAAAATTGAACATTTGACATTTTCAATAGTTTGTCCACTTCCACTTTGAGGTGCAAACATACTCTTATATTCATTATACAACTCATACAAGGCTTCCCTGACTCTTTTTGCAAATTCATGACCCTTGGCACATTGATAAGTTTCATTAAGTACAAACTCCACATACTCTAATTTGTGCCGAGGGTCTAACACAATTGTAATATAGATCAATTTATTCATCTTTTCAATGTTTCCCCAATACTTATCGTACTTTCCTTTCATCCTCTTTGCCATCTCCCTTAAATTTTTGTCATCACTGTTTACCCATTTTTGCAAAAGGCACTTAACTACATTAATTTCATGGACAAAGTTGTTTGATGTGACATACAAGGAGCCTGAAACCCGTACTATGAGGTTATAAAAATATTGTAAAAATAGCACTAGCCTCCTAACATTCTCCCAATCAAAACAAGTAGGAATCCCATCCTCCATCTCAAATTCACTTCTAAACTGAGAATCATGATCCTCAAACCTCTCAAAGACTCTTTCAAACTTTTGAGCTGCATCTAACATTAGGTATGTTGAATTCCATCTAGTACTAACATTTAAATACAACAAACTCTTACTTTGAATCTTTTCAACCTTAACAAATTCTTTAAATTTTTGCAACCTAGCCGAAGATTGTCTCACATATCTCACAGCCTCCCGAGCACAACTAATAGATTTACCCATTTCTTTCAAGCCATCATTTACAACTAGATTTATAATGTGTGCAATGCACCTCATATGAAGCAATTTCACATCTAGAATATAAGTTTCCCAATTAGAAATTTTCCTTTTCAGGTATGTAATTGCAACGTTATTGGAACTTGCATTGTCAACTGTAATAGTAAAGACTTTATCAATCTCCCACTCAATCAAACATTTTTCCACCGCCTTACCAATGGCCTCTCCTCTATGACTAGAAATTGGACAAAAGTTAAGAACATTTTTATTCAATTTCCAATCATTATCAATAAAGTGGGCCATTAGACACATGTAGTTGATTTTTTGCAAAGAAGACCATGTGTCTGTAATAAGACAAATCCTTTGGCATGATTTTTTTAGGAATTTCTTTAACTCCAATTTCTCATCTAGGTACAATTAGTAATAATCTCTAGCAATAGTCCACCTAGATGGAATCCGAAACCTAGGACAAGAAAGTATCATAAACTTTTTAAAGCCCTCACCATCCACAAAGTTGAATGGAATCTCATCAACAATGAACATCTCAGCTAAGCCCTTTCTAATGGCCTATTGGTCAAACTTCCAACAACTAAGGGAATTCATCTTCTCAGTGTTTTCACCCTCCCCCTCCCTTGAGGTTGATTTCATATTTATCTGTGATTGTTTTGCCTCTAAGTTATAGGGGTTTTTCGTACGTATGTTCATGTGGTTCCTTAATGAGTCTGTCCCATTTCTCTAGTCATAACAAAATTCTCTATCAAAGTAGTTGCACTTACCTTTTACTTCACCATTATCTGAGATAAATTTTGAAAAGTGATCCCATACTTCTTATCTTGGCTTCATCGCTTTTCTTTTTCCTTTAGCAACTACATTCATCAAATCCATTTGGTCTCCAGTTTGTTGTGACATCTAAAATCACAATTCACAAAGGATAAGATATATCATATATGCTAAAACTAACAAATAAATGGAATAAAATACTTGAACATCTACAATCATAATTCACTTAAGAAACAAAAAGAGAATCCAATTCCCAATCCCTATCAAGATAAAAACAACAATTTAAAATGAAAACTATGTAGATTGCAGCCACAAAGTGGAAGAAATAGAAAAAATAATTTAAAAATGTAATAAAAATGAGAAGTTTTTTTCACTCTCTTTGATATCTTTTATTTTATTTTCTTGTGAAAAGGTGTAGAATGTACTCAAAGTAGATGAAAGAAATAGAGAAATCCAAATTAGATTTCCAACTAGGCAGTCATGCATGGCTGCAAATAGATGGAATCATGGAATATTGAAATTGAATTCAAATGGGTATAATTCATTAATTCAGAGAAATCCGAATTGGATTTCCAACATATACATAACAAAACATGGATTCAAATTTCAAATTCCATTTATTGTTTATGTATCCAAATTCATGTTTCTGAATTTTGATTCCATTAATTATTATTTGATTTAAAACTTAACAAATCTATATAAATCTACACAATTATTATTTGATTTAACTTAAACGAATCATGTTCAAATTTGAATAAGATTAAACTCCAATCCAAGTATCCAACCACTCATTTATTTGCTGGCAATGTACATGTACAACATAAATACAACAAACAGTAGCAGTGAAGGAAAACCTTGAAAAGAACAGTACAACAAACAATACAATTTGGAATCTAATTTGGCTTGATTTAAACCTCAATTACGTAATACTAATAGACCAGGCTGCTTCTTTCCTTTATTTTTCTTTGTGGTTTGAAAATTGGGTGGACCAATGCTCGACTAATTAATAAATAATAAGGTTGAGAAGTGATTTTATCCCAAACAACTATTATTTCATGGATTGTTAGGAACAACCGAACAAATTTGTCTTTGAAAACATCTTGCTTGATCCATGAACTTCCATTATTCTATGCAATAGGTACTGACCGGAAGGAGAGAAGGAAAAGTTATGCAATAGGTTGTGTCTTGGTTGTTTGTTTATTTTGGATAGTGTGGTCACTGTGGTGTAATAATGAGGAGTGAGGAAGATCCGAAGATGCACTGAAACTGATGCTGTGATGCAGAGCCTGGAGTGAGACAAGGAAAAGTCAAGGGCCCATTGCAAAGTGAAGACAAGGACTGAAGGAACTCAGGAAGTGCATAACCGAGCAAGTCTTCATGTCTTCTCAGACTCTCAGTCAGTCTGTGATTGTGTTCTATCAAAAACAGAGAAGAAGAAGAAGAAGAAGAAGAAGAAGAAGTCGAGACTTGAAGGAGGCTGGGACTGGGACTCTGGTCTCTCATCTCTGGACTTTTAAAGAAGAAGAAGAAGAAGAAGAAGAAATTAGTTTTGGAGTTACCTGGCACCCGCCGGAGAGCCGGTGAAAAAGAAGAACCGAACTGGTGAATGGTGATCTCTGATCTGGTCTTCTGTTCTGTGCCTGTGTAGTGTCTAGTGTCTAGTGTCTACTGTGGTCTCTACTAGACTGCTATGGAGTCTGGAGTCGAGTCTCTATAGTCTGTACTTTGCAAGCTGACTCTAGTGTTGTGGAAGGCAGAAGACGAAGAGTCAAAGGAAGTTTAGACTCTCAAGTCTTTCCTGTTTTAGTGTTTTGTTTTCCACTTTTCCAGTCCACTACTTTCGTAACTAATACAAAATCAATTATGATTGTTTAGAACTTTAGATTTTACTTTAGAAAGTAGAAACTTTTAAACTTCTAGTTTTAGTCTTTAAGTCTTTTACGTTAAGCCTTAATAAGGAAATTTGGATATAGCCAATTAGCTAAATACATGATACGTCTCAAGTCTTGCTCTTGTCGTATAAGTATAAATAATATTAGTAATATATAATTATAAAATTAATTCGGTTAATTCGGTTAACCGATTTAGTAAACATGCTAAATGAAACCGACCGAACAACCGAATAAACCAAACCGATTCAATCGAAACCGAAATTTCGGTTTGGTTTTTCGATTTTAACCAAATTGTGCTCACCCCTAACTCATAGTACTGATAGTCAGGTTTCCACACCCTCAGATGACATTGATGATGAAATTGGAGACTCCTCACTACGAGCAGGAGCAATAGATCTACCATTGCCATCAAAAGGAAATTGGAAATTAAAGAAAAACTTGGAGAGGTTGCAGAAAATTTGGTAAAACTTGCAAAGGCTGTTGAATGTGGATATGACTTGTTTGATAGAGATACTCTCTTCTGATATGTTATGAGCTTGGAGGGAATATCTACATCATTTTTGTTAAAGGCATTTGATTTTTTATCAAATGACCAGTTTCATGCCTTGACATTTTATGTGATTATGCTAGAATTGAGGAAGGATTGGTTGATCATGAAGTTAGGAGACCCACTTTGATGTTAGCATTCCATAATTGATATGGGCCTATCAATTATGGAATGCTAACCTTTTACCTCCATCACCGTTTTGATGTTAGCCTCTTTAGGTGATGGAGGGTTCCAACCTTTTACCTTGTAATTTGACATGATAATTTTGGTAAACCTTTTTTAATGGTTTGAACTATGTTTTATGGGCATTTTATTTGATTGACTAGGTATGACAATTTTGATATACTTCTATATAAATATTGATATGCATTTTCTTGTCCTTTTGGAATTGATATTAGTTGAATAAATGGCATATATTTCATGATTATTAATTTTTCATATATTTTCCTTGCCTCACCAAACAAGAAAAATTTAATTTTCCTTACCTTTTCCATTGGTTAACCAAACAATGGATAAGGAAAATTTTTATCTTCCCTTCCTTTCCTTTCCTTTCCCTTCCCTTCATTTCCTTCAAACCAAACACAGCCTTAAAGAGTGCCTTGTCGCAACCCTTTGAGTGTAGGTAGAACCTCGTGCAAATTTGGTAGGTCATAAGATTCCACTTTGTCAATCCAAACATGTGATTAATTAATTGAAAAACAATAACACTAATTCATTTGAAAAATCAAAACCCAGTACAAAAATTAAAAATCATCTTATTATCAAGCTCAAGACATGCAAAATCCATCTCCTCCATTTGTGACAACTAGCAACCAGAACTGTGACAAGGGGGTATCTGGGTTAATGGCCTTTTATGTGTTTGAAGTATAAATGGTGTTTCAATTCAAAACACTTTTGGTTGAAACACCAATTATACTCAACATAGGACTCTACAGCCTTTTTTCTTTTTTGGATAATAGTAACAAAGTCTGGTTATTTAGGGTGTTTTGAATTTATACAAAGAGTATAGGGGTCCTTTGGACCATGATTTTACAATTTATCAATCTATGTGTTTAAGGAATATTGAGACCTACAATGAGTTGTTTTGAGACTTTTAACATGGGTTGACTTGTCGGCCCAACAAGTAGGGGTCCAACCCAAGTTCAAACCGGTCCAGCCTGCAATTTTACATAAGGTGGGCTTGGATTTTTGGTCCTTGGGTTAGGCCTGGGCCCAATAACTTGGGCTTTTTAATTTTTCAAGTTGGGCTTGGGTCTAGCACTTAGGTAGTTTAAAGTTGGCCCGATTATATACATGTATATATGCATATAGACACATACTTGTATGCATACATATATATATGCATAATTTTTTAATAAACAATACATACATATATATAATACATTGGATAGTTCAGGCCCAAGCCCAACCCGGTACATCAAATTGGATAGTTCGGCTTGATCTTAGGCCCAGGCTGCACTTAGGCTTTAGACCCAAATTTTAGGGTTAGGCCTGGGTTTAGTTAAAACCCATCCCAGCCTGCCCGATTTGCACTCCTACAAACAAGGATAAAGGTAAAGAATTGATATACCAAAGTAGTTGGAGATTAATTAAGGTGTGTAGTCAAGGTTAACATAAAAAATTCTTACGTGCTTGGCATATCACTTGTAAGGAAGCATTTGACATATTCCACCATGACGATGTTCTCCGATTTTCATACCCCCCCCCCCCCCAAAAAAAAAAAAATCGTAAAGATATCACTGCAATTTGGATAATATGAACAAATGGATTTATTGAAAATGATCATTGTTCTCTTAGGTTCGGTTCTATACTTCTCCTAGTTCACTTGTCTTCAATTGTTTCATCCAAATCTCAACCATCAGAATAGCCTCCTATGATCATCAATCAACCTCAACCATTCAAATGATCTAACAAAATTGAATGTGGATTTAGTCCTCACACAGATCGGTCTTACAATCCTTAAGTTGTGCATTGGGAATAGCTTCCCATGAATGAAAATATACAAGTATGGAAATATTCTCAATACACAGCTACAAAGTATTGTGAATACAGTGTGACGACTAAATCCCAACTCAACAAAATTCCATTACTACCAATATTATTATCATTCTTAGATTTATTAATTTTCACCTAATGAGGCTCCTCCACCTTCATCCTTGTCTTATTTTTCACCTTTCACTCTATATCACCCGTGAATGTTGAGATAAATGAATGGGGGAAGAAGGATGTAATTAAAAATGAACTCATTTAAAACATATCGGAGTAAAATAACTCCAATATGTGACAAAATGATTGAAAATTCAAGAACTGGAAAATCCCTTAGGCTGTGTTTGGTTGCAGTGAAATTTTATTTGTATTAGTACAAATGCATAGAAGTGCAAATGTAAGAAACATAAATTTTTGTTTAATTTTGTTTTGAATTTTACTTTATTCTGTTCCATGTCTTAATTTACTTTACTTATACCACAATTAAACAAAATAAGCTAAAATTTGAAAAAAGAAAGTCAGAATTTACATTCAAATCGTTTGCACTGTCATGATTTTACATTAGTGCAAATTTATTTGCATTGGAACCAAACACAGCCTCATCTAAAATATCTATTACTTGGGGTTAAAAGAGCTCGGGGCAAATATAAAAAGAGATGGGTTGAAGAATAATAAGAAATAATTTAAGACTTCATGATTCAATGTAGCTGACGCCATATTTGTTGGGATAAGGCTTTAGTGGCTACCCTTGGAATGTGCAAGTTACAATACAAGGGTAAAAATATGAAAAAACATTTAAATCTAAAGCTTTTTCTACGTTTATTTTTATTGTTATCGTCCTTCTTTAAAACCCTTGGCTTTGTGAATACATTTAAAAATTAAAATATTTAAACAACTGTCATTAAAAACATTGACATTACATTATAATTTTTTATTATTTAGGGCTTGGATGTGAAGCCATGCAAGTATTGGTATAAAATAGTAATAGTGACATGGCTTATAAAGGAGGAAAATCAATGCTGCCGAGTGCTTTGACTAAGAATTTTTTATAAATATTGAGATTACAAATTCGAGGGCTATTCCACCAAATACAATTTCTATCAAAATAATTAGGTCTGTTTGGTTTGCAGTTGGAATTGGAATGGTTCATTCCCATAATTTATTTAATTCAGATATGAATGAGAATGGGAATTGGAATCAGTAGAAATAGGATTTCATTCCCAAGGGAGGGGCAGGGAATGCCATTCCAACAGGAATGAGAATAGAATTCCGATTTCAGTAATCCACCCAACCAAACAATTGGAATTGGAATAACCTATTCTGATTTCGATTCCAAACTCCTAGGAATATATTTATACACAACTGTGTTGAAACATTTTTGGGCTTGGGCACACAAAATTTGATTTATCCAAAAGTTATACTTTCAAACCAAAATAGAAGGTTGTGATTGAGAGAGTCCACAATATTATTTACATAGATAATATTAAAATGGATGATCATTGATTATCCTTTCCAAAACAATAAAGGTCCTTCCAAAATATTCTTAATTCAACCATTGCAATAATTAAACAAATAAATCACATGAGAAATATTGCCTTTGAATATCAACTCATTGTTATTCCTTTTATGATTAATTGGATATCGACTGTGGGGAGTTCATTTGAAGTTTTGAACTCGTAAATATAACGGAGAATGACAGTTCAGCTTAGGGTCAGAATTTATAGACTCAAAATACTATTGGAATAGATGCCAGATCAAAATTGATGCTAATTCATGAGCAGGGGTTGATGCATAGAACGTAAGTTGTTGATATTTTGAATATTTATAACTCTGCATTGAACTTATAAACTGATTGATTATCCCTTTTATCATTGAGATGAATATATACAAGGTTTTTCTGTATTATGTCTTTATAGTATCATAGTCAAACCCTGTTAAACGTCATTGAAAGTTGAATTCTAAAGTGAGAAGTGAAATTATTTAAATACACAGGGGTGCTAGTGTCACATATTTTCATATTTATAAAATATCCAAAATATCCCTTTATTTGTACGTAGCATTCAATCTTTTATTTTTTTTTTAAATACTCAAATTACCCTTTTAAAAAATGATTATTCTTTAAATAGACCTGCAAGAACAAAAGCTTATTGATCAATTAATAAAGAACCTTACCAAAAAAAATCAATTAATAAAGGAGAGAAATTAGCAAAAACTCCGATACGTGCCAAAACAATGGGGGTAAATAGGTAATTGGGTCATTTTCTTTCGTCGTTAATCTGCTTAACATGTTAAAGACTGGGGGTTATTTGAAACTTTTTATAGTTCAGGTACTAAAGCGACATACCCGCTTAGATCAGGGGGTTTTTGAGTTTACGCAAAAAATTAGATATACACACCTCAGGCAATGGAGAGGAAGAACAGAGGGTGAGAGACAGAGGAATCAAAAGAAGAGAAGCAGTAGGAGAGGAAAGGATAGGGAACCGATATTGAGAAAATGGTGAAGCAGATATTAAAATTTCTGCATTATTGTTTCTGTTTGTCTGTTAATAATTTGAGGATTTTTTGTCTGAGGGAACACAGAAATCAAACCCTAAATCTAATACAAAACGATGATCTTGTACAACCTTTTGTTTCGGACTCGTCATGGTATTTTAAAGGAGAGAGGATGTTTTTTTTGAAAATTTGATCGAAAGGCATAAGATGTATCGATTTTACTAGCTTGTTTTTTCTTTTTTTGTTTCCATATGTTCTCAGGTGTTTTTTCGTGCATTCCCGAACTGGTTTTTGCTTCTTATTTTGGAAAGTTTGATTCTTTTATGATTTAAGGTTTTGTTTAAACATTCATTTTTTGCTTTGTTCCTTGTTCGTACGGTAGTGTCATTGTTGTTAGTCAAAGTTTGTAGTATTTTTGAGCTGAGTTCAGTTTATAACTTTTTGCTACCTGTATTGCAGGTCTCTCTTCCTCACTGCTGAGATTTTTCTTTCAATGCAACTCTATTATATGCCGGTAATCTGTCTAAATTGAAAATTTCCTTACGATTGTTTAGTAGTTTTTTAATTTTTCATTTGTCTGTTTACTTAGGTTGTTTTTACTCTGAATTTCTGCTGAACTTCCTCTGCCTTTTTTTTTTTTTTTTAAATTTCCTTTTGTGTTCATCTATTTATTGTGGTCTCCAGCAGTTTTGGAAATACATATTCTATATATTGGAATGGCATCAATTAGAAACAACTAATCAGAAAATACGTTCATATACTTTTGCACCAGTAAGGCTTTGTGATATTAGCTAGGAAAGGAAAAGAATATTTTTTGGTCTATATTCTCCTTAAGGAAATTGTAGCATTGAGAGGGAAATTTTAAAGCAACTGAAAACCCTTTTGCACCCGCCCTCTCAGCAATGATAAACAAGGTCAAGAAAAAAAGTATATATCCTTACTAATAAAAATATAGAGTATCTACTTTCCCATTGTTTGGAGTCTTAATGGTTAACTGGAGTTATGATGGACTTGGTGAATAAGGACTGAAGAATCCTTCTATATGCTTTTATGGAAGATAGAATTTTGCAGCAGATTGGTTAGAAAAAGACTTTATAATATCCATTTATAAAAAAAAAGACTTTATAATACCCAACCCGTATAAGCATAATACCTCTCATGTACATTAAGATAAAGATGATTGAGCTATTGAGACTTGAGAGACCAAAAATAAAGGTATACTGGTTATGGGCACTTTGAGTTTCTAACTTCCTATTATGAACATTATCCAGAAACTTCCAAAATATTGTGGTTTTGGATAGGTCTTTTAGTGGCTCTTATTTGGTTGTTGATGTGTGAGTTGCAGACCATTTATTCAAGGTTCAAAGTTTCATCACATATCGGGGTGTATTGGCTGATGCCTATCGTATCAGTGGGTCAACGATATACCAAATATATCTTTTGGGGGCTTGATCTATTTCAGGGAGTAAGCAGGCCTAAGACGTACCCCTCTGGCCTATTTTTGAAAAAAAAGATAAAAACATAAGAAGAGTGTGGTACAAAGTACTGATACACCCCTTCTGCTGTATTGGGGTGTATCAATACTTTGAACCTTGCATTTATTGTCAATTTTTCATCTAGGTTTTCTGAAAGCCAATTTTTGTATTAATGCTTGAAACACTACACTCATGAAATGCAGAACTGCCAATTTCAATTGATAGGCCTAAGCCTAACAGGATTATGTTACTGAATTGAGAATTTGGGTGATATAGCTAATTTTTGTGACATGTCATACAGTTACTGCACCTTCAACTTGCCATCCTCATCAACCTTTTATTTATTTATTTATGCTTTGTTAGTAGGAAAGGGACAAGGTCACAAGGGTGGTAGGCTTGAGTTGGTTGACTATAAGGGTGTCTTGCATATGGTTATTTTGAACCCATTAGTGAGTGTCTCTACATTTTACTTGGTGTGATGGTAAAATGTTGGGCTGACAAGTATGATGACAAGGGTTCAAGTATGACTGTATGAGTGTGGTGCCTTGATGAAAAAACTACTAGAGGTTAGGGAGTGTCAAATTCAAGATCCATGCTGCATTAGATCAATTTTTGGATGCAGAGAAATCTTAACACGAATGCTGTTCTAATATCTAAGTTTTCAGTTGTCTTTGGATTGGTGATTATAATTGAGTTTCACAAGGCCCAGTTATTTAAAAGGCGTGCCTAGGCACAATTTAGGGTATGCGCCTTGCCTAGGTCCTAGGTGCAGCACTTTCAAAAGGTGTGTGCCTGGTGCGCCTTGCGCTTCAGCCCAGACGTGCACACCTTTTGAAAATCAATGCATCTTTTCTGTTTTTTTTTTTTGTGCTTAGCAGTTGGGACCAGAGCTGAGAGAACCCCATAGTTGCTAATGTTGCTCATTCATTCATCCTAATAAAAGATATATTTTTAAAAGACACATGAAGTTATAAAGCCTTTTTCTTACAGGGATTTAGAATTTAAGACTCTGATATGGACTTGTTTGGGCTTGCCTTGAGGGGCTTGGTACAAGGGCAGCTCATAGAATCAGGAATGCATAATGTTTAATATCACATTATCTATTTGAAGTAATGCAATTAGGAAAAAAATAAAGAGATTAAGAGTTTACATGCTTGAATATGTTTTATATGTTATGCTTGATTTTATTTTTAAATTTTCATTTTAAATATTTTTTACATCATGTATATTAATTTGAGATAATAGATTTTTTAAAACATTCATTTTAATGTTTAAGTTTATATTTTTAATTAATAATGTGTTTAATATTTTTAATATTTGCATTTTTTTTATTTTTTAGCTTTTTTTGTGCCTTGCTTCAAAAAGGCACATGCCTTGTCTTGTGCCTTGCACATCGGGTGCAAAATGGTCCTTGTGCTTTTAAAACACTGACAAGGCCCTGCATAGAGCAAAGTCACTGTGTAGCTATGATGCAGGAGCTGAAGAGTCAAAATTGGAATTTATGGAATTTTGTATTTTTGGACAGTAGGGGTATTTTTGTCATTTTGCAATTTTCTGTGGGGTCCAATTGTAGGGTTTGATTGTCTAGTTATAGTTTGTTTATGTTTAAAATTTCAGAGTGACATCTCTTAGGAAATTGGAGATGGGAGAGTTCGTGGAGATAGGCCGTTGGAGAAAAACTTTGAAGATTGAAGCTAAGGAGCTCCTATTCGAGGAACAAAGATTAAAAGGTCAGCTGAGCTTGAAAATCAGGGAAGCAAAGAAAGGGATGGTGCTGTTAAAAGGATTGGGGGTGATTGAAGGGTTCAAGGAGTTTGTGGAAGGTGCAAGTAGCAAGGGCAAACAAAATAGCTGGAAAGAGTTTCTCTCAGAAACTGGAAGAAGATTTGTAGTAGACTGTGAGAGAAATTCTAAAGGCTTTTTCATATCTTTGACAGAATTTTTTGGCAAGGGTAGGAAGTAAATGGTATATTTCCCAGAGGGAAGGAAAAGTCAGGGCTGGAAGGAAGTTCATGGGGTATTATGTGAACTGCTGCAATGGTTGGGTGCTAAAAGAGAAGGAAATTTAACAGAAAAAAGGATGATAAACAGTTCTACTAGCCAGGAGTGCAATAATAAGCAAGAGGCTCTTATAGTGACAGCTGGAGCAGGTAAACTCAGGATGGGAGCAAATCTAGAGAGAGAAGATTGGGAAAGTAAACTGATAGTTAAAGCATCAGCTTGGATTGTAGATTGGAGGAAAGTCACAGATTTGTTAACAGCAAGCTTGAAGTTGAAGAGTACGTTTTTCTTAACCCCCTTTGAGAAAGATAAGGCTCTGCTGGACTTGCTTTAGAGTAGAAGCTGAGGCTTTAAATATCCAAGCTGAACTTGGGAATTTCACAATATCAAGATGGTGTCCAGGGTCAAACTCCAAAGATTTCTTTGTTGAAGATGGGGTGCTGGTGCGACTCTTAGGCCTACCTTTTCACTTGTGGAAGCAAGAAACTGCTGAAGCCATTGCTCTGATGTGTGGAGGATCACTAGGAGGTGTTTTTTGGGAAGACCTCTACTCAACTTCCATTTTAATAAATGGAGTAAAACCTGAGGAGATGTTGAAGAAGGATCTAGAAGATGTGTTGCTAAGGGAAGAAACTTGTTGGAGACAAAAATCAAGGCACCAATGGATTAAGGAAGGAGATGGGAATACCAAATTTTTCCATGATTTGGCAAGTGGACATCGAAGGAGAAACTTTATAGCCAAACTGGAAGTAGAAGGGAAGGCAATTACAGACCAAGAGGAGATAGCTAGAACCTTTGTAAACCATTTCAAAAATTTGTTTGGAAGACCTTTGGATGAAAGGCTACCTTTGGAAGGATTGGATTGGCCAAGGTTGGGCAATGAAAAAGCTTGCTGGTTGGAAAGAGGCTTTGAAGAAGAGAAGATTAAAAGGGCAGTGTTCTCAATGAATAGGTCTAAGGCGTTGGGCCTAGATGGTTTTACAATGGCTTTTTATCAAGATTGTTGGGAGATCCTAAAAGAAGATCTTTGTGAGGTGTTCAGAGAATTTTGCAGACAATCATGTAGTAAGTCCAGGAATAAATGCTACTTTTTTGGCCTTAGTCCCGAAGAAGGTTGATGCTATCCTCCCTAAGGATTTTAGACCTATAAGCTTGGTGACCAGTATCTATAAAATTCCAAGGTTTAAAATGTTGATGTTGATGGAAATGTCGCTTACCAAAATATAGGACATATGTTGGAAATGTCGAGGGGAAATATTATAAAAATTAGAGACATTGTGGAAATATTATGAAACATGTGGAAATATGCAATGATATTTTGTAAAATGATAAAAAAGCATTAATACATATTTCTGGATTATTATCTTATTCCCAACCATTATATAAAGCTAAGAAACTAAGATTAATAACAAATTAGTAAATGACGATTTACTGATTTATTATGCATTTTGATGTTTTTACAAGGTTATCYGATATTTTCTTTTCTTATTTTTAATCCTGATTTATTATAAATTCTAATATATTTATTTCACACTAGTAAATAGAAATACACTTATTCTGATTTTTTATATTAAATTTAGAATATGATTTATTATAAAATTTAATAAAGATTTTCTGATTTTAATAAATATTTTAAAAATTCTAACTAGTTAATATTTTATTACTTGAAAAATATTTTATGTTTTATATTATAAAGTAATTAATTTATTCTTTTGTTTTTATTTTTTTGTTAATTATTTTTTATAAATATTTTATTTGAAATATTAAATAGAAATTGTTAATGGAATAATTTATATTAATATACTGTATTATATTAATATAATATACTAATATATTATATTATTAATGTACATTAGTCGACATCTTGTTGACATAATAGGAAAAACTGTCTTTTTTTTTTGGTTATTTGGACCGATTTGGTTGACATTTCCGAAATATAGGAAATGTTGATTGAAATAATGTAATTTTTATATTACCACCCATTTTCATGTTGGTGAGCCTCGACATCGACATATGTCGGGCGACATTAGTGAAATGT